GTTGTTGCAAACGTTGAAACATGAAAGTAGCAAGGGAATGTTTCTATCTTTTGGGATATTCTACAATGTCACTCGATGGAAAAATTAAAATATTTCATAACATAGATGGTTGCACCAAAAAAGAGTTGAGGATCTATTTTCTGGATTGAAAGTTGAAAACAATGCTACAACATTTGACTAAATGAAGAGAGTTTCTCAAAAGCATGGTTCCAGGAAAACTGAGGAGAGAGAGATTAAGGGGATACAGAAAACTCCTCATTCAAGCTTGACGCGGTCCATGTCGTTTATCACTCCTTCAAGCTGCAAACCAACAACACAACAAAACAATCGGATTCTTATCATGTCTGCATACACGTCTCAGATTCAGTTTGCATACCTTTGCAATCTGCCTCAAGAAGAAATCGCCATAACGTTTTGCGGGTTTGGATTCCACAACGTAGATCATGTCCTGCATTTTCATCAGCTTTAAAGATTACTTATCAAAACACCAGCGTATATCGATGGAAAAACATACACAGGAAGTAGGAAGACCGTACATTGTTGATGTAGAAATCAATGTCTGCATTGGAGATGATCTTGCCATCAGAATCAACTGAGTGAGTCTTGTGCTTGTATGTTAACAATATGGTCCTGCAATTAAATCAGTACATGTCAAAGACAAAAGTACATAGCTGAAAAACTTNCANTGAAAGCTCTCTGCCCGCGGTTCCTCACCTNAGAGTGGGTTCATCAACTTCCATGTAGTTTGNGAGCTTAGCAAGAGAAATGGAGGAGTAGACTTTAAGGAATGTCCGCACTCCAGACAACAGCTGCTGCTGCTTTACCTCATAAAGAAACATCTTCAACTGAAGCCTGTATGCATCCTGAGATGTCCGAGTCGGGAAAGTTAAAAACTATTAAACACATAAGTCCTCATAATTGTGTAATTTTAAAACTATAGTACCTGATTGTAATTGACAAGCGGTTCCTTGAAACTTGGTGCCGAAGGGGTGATAAACTTGGGGCATGCATAAGAGAAGAGC